ATCGTTTCCTATTCTGGCTTAGAATGTAAAGAAAAAAAAAATGACTTTCCCATAACATTGTATAATGGATCTTCCAGTCACAGTCTCCTATGGAAGCATAATTTATGTGGTGGATGACAAGAAGAGTTTTATGATATCTGGAATTCATTTAAAATCTTTAGATTGGAAAAATTGAGATCCAATTAAAACCTTAATAAATGACTCTGTGTTGAATATAAATATATTAAATTAATATGTGTGCGAGATGAAATTGGAAAAGTTATGGGAGTCTTCATTTTAATTCTATTTCTATCAGGAAACTGTATAACCCTGAGAATTACTTGGTAATGGGGCTGTTTACAATGAAGCAAAACTGAATTTAAATAGGACATTTAAGCCCATGACTGGTCATAACTCATGAGGCCTCTGGGCCTTAAGGCATTGAGATCTCATTGGTCAAAGGCCCATGAGGAGCGGGAAGATGGACCGACTGGAGCCAAGAGGGGCCCTAGGGAGGCCCAGGTGGCAACAGGACCAGCCTCCCAGGATCTTGCTGTGAAGACGAGCAAAGGTTACACACGGCAGCCTCTGTTTTGTAGGTGAGATACGATAGTGAGAGTCTTGGGTGGGAGGTAGTTCTCGTGGGCCCGAGGTGGTAACAGCTCGGCTGTAGGGGAGATCCTGGACGGGATGTGCTCCGTATCCAACAGACTCAGGGGCTGAGGGCTGAGGGATACGGAGTGAGTATATCTCTCCTGCACACTCAGCTCCAGAGACAATATGTATCTTCTACATACTTACACACTTGCCCCAGGATTTGGGGCATGTATCTTAGGGAGGATGTATAGTTGCCTTAGGTTATCTGACCCCTAACCCTAAGACAACAGAGGAAATGTGATATGGGGCCGAGAGCTTGGCTCCTCATATACTGGGCAGCTGAGGGTAGCAGTTAAGGACGGCAGGCCTGGAAGTCAAACCACCTGGCTTCAAATCCCAGTTTTGCCCACTTACCAGCTGGGGATGACCACATCCAGATCGATGTGAGGATCAAATGGGTTACCGTATGTAATTGCAAGGCACATCCAGCGTGTTATTTTTGGAAAGAGTTTTTTGGCTTTAAGTCACGGAACTTGAGACTTGGAAAATGGTGCTACCGCTATGGATGGGCTAGACCTCGCTATTCTTGTCGTTTGGCAAGTCATAAAACAAAACAGAAGATCCTGGCCGAACCCTCTCCCATCTTCCCACAAATCTGGCTGCACCTTCATTCCCTAGAAGGTTCAGAACCTGTTTTTAGTTCCATCCAACTGCGTCTTCCCATCCCACTGCTTTCCTTCTGAGGTAGGGATTGTTGTTGTTTTGTAAAACTTCGGGGCAGATTTGTTGCAGAATCTGTGGGGTTGGTTTTTAGGTTGTTATAAATGGGCCTTTATTCCTATCTGTGTATAGGCATAGGTGTGGATACCAAAAAAAAAAAAAAAAAAAGACATTTTGGGAAGCGTGGGCACCAGGGAGCAATAGTTTAATGGAGCGAGCCATACCCAGATGGCTGGAGCTGGTAAAGCCCTCGCCATCCCCTCTCTTGGGTTTACCCGAGTCACAAGATGCCACGTGTTTGCCTCATCGCTGTTTATCTGTCCGAGACATCAAGGTAGATGGGAATCATCCCCTTCATCCTTCCCCACGAGCTATCCTTAGTCCAGGATTCCCCTCAACCCCCGCCCCCCCAAAGAGCTACCATGTTGAGAGTGTCCACAATGCCAGAAATTGAGGTGAGTGGGTTTATAAGCATCATCGCATTTAATCCTCGCAAGGATAAATACTGCTACAGAAGCTGAAAGGCAAAGAGAGGTTAAGAGACTTGATCAAGGCCCCCCGGGAAGGAAAGGCTCCGCAGGGTTGCCGGCTGTGTTACCGAGAGGACCTGCAGGCTTTCTGGAGAGAGAATGTGGCCTGCCTGCCCCTGCCCCTCTTCCCCGCCACCCTGCCAGGCTCCGTCTCTCTCTCCTTAGAGCTCTGCTGCTGCTTTGGTTAAGGACCTTACTACATTATCAGGTATCTCTTATCTTTCCCACTTGGCTGAAGCGGAGAGGATGTTTGAAAGCAGGAAATCATTCTCTCAATCCCGACAGGTCCTGGAGACCTCAATAAAGTCCACCCCCTGCCCCCGCCCCACCACACTGCCAGTTAGTGGTAGCGCAAAAAAAAGATTCATTTTCTAGTAGCAGCTCAGTAAAGGTTTGCTGAATTCATAAATCCATAAAATCCAGAGTTTTCCTGGCCTACTAAAGGTCATGAGCTAAAGCAGTGGTTTAGAACATGCAATCCTAAAAAAATACCCAGTCCTGTCAACCAAATGGAGGAAGCTCTTCCTGAACTTCCTGATCAAGGAGTTCTTGTCTTTTTTTAAGATTTTATTTATTTATTCATGAGAGACACAGAGGGAGAGAAAAGGCAGAGACAGAGGCACGGAGAGAAGCAGGCTCCATGCAGGGAGCCCAACGTGGGACTCAATCCTGGGGTCCAGGATCAGGCCCTGGGCCGAAGGCGGCGCTAAACCGCTGAGCCCCCCCCCCGGGCTGCCCCTGATCAAGGAGTTCTTAGTGGGCGTGGAGCAGATCCCTGGGGCCCCGGGCGGCCTGGAGGGCCGAGTGGGACAGCGGGGACTGGTCCCTCAGACTTTCCCGGGAGCCGGTAGTCCGTCCAGTCGCAGTTTCTGCAGCACTTTCCCAGCGGTGCCTCCTGCGCTCTCAGGATTCTCTGCATGTTCTCACCAAGAAAACACCAAATCCCTTGAAAGTCTGGTTTCTGCCTTGTGGTTTGTGAGCCAATCTCATGACGTCACAGCCACCAGCAGCCCACAGTGCTTTTCCCCGACTCCATGTAGGCAAACCAGACAGGGCTTCTAGCAAGTGAAACCTCTTTTGGGTAAATATTTTGGGCCTGGTTTTAAGATTTCTGTGACAGACCAAGTGGTGGAAATCTGTGTATATATACAGAAGACTCTCTCCCTTCTTCTGCGATGTGTGTGATGTCACTTTCCTCATTGAAATAACTCTGTTTCTCTTAGCCAGTTCTTTGCTTGGGAATTGGGCTTTCCTTGTTGATTTTCACTCCAACAGGACTGCTAAGGAAGGGTGGAAAGGACCCAAAACATATTTTCTCCCAGGCTGCCTGCCTCCTAAAGCGGCTCTAGCTAGCCCCCTTTGTTTTAGCATCAGGGACTTCAGGTTGGATGGTGCAGGAGGGCCTTCCTGGATTCCCCAGCCTAACAGGAAGGTGTAGATTGAACCTTATTGCTGGAGGGATGCCTAGGGGGCTCAAGGGTTAAGCGTCCGCCTTAGGCTCAGGTAGTGAGTGACCCTGGGGTCCTGGGATGGAGTCCCACATCCGGCTCCCTGCTTCTCCCTCTGCCTGTATCTCTGCCTCTCTCTTGTCTCTTTGTGTCTCTCACGAATAAATAAATAAAATCTTAAAACAACAACAACAACAACAACAACAACAATAACACACCAGGGTGGCTCAGTGGTTGAGCGTCTGCCTTTGGCTCAGGTCCTGAGCGCCTGGGGTCTTGGGCTTGAGTCTGCATCCGGCTCCCCGCAGGGAGCCTGCTTCTCCCTCTGCCTCTCTCTCTGTGTCTCTCATGAATAAATAAATAAAACCTTTAAAACAAAACAAAACCTTATTACTTACGTTGCAACAAACTGCATTCAGACTCTAAACCTGTAACTTGGGGAAGAGCAACATCCTGTGCTTGTGGGCACAAACCCAACTTCTATACATATGTAATCAAGTGTGTATATGAGAATATATTAAATATTCACATAAATGCATGCATTCTATTTGCAGTGTATTTCTGGATACACCCCTGTCTCGGTAGACGCACAAGCTGAAAGCAAGCAAGCAATGCGTCCATGTCTGTGCACGTGTACAGACACACACAGCCTACGCCGCCGTGCAGGTTTCCTGGCATCCTCTGCCCATAGGTATTCGTGCCCCTGGTCGGTGGCGGATGGCGGATTCCGGAGGAGCCCACCGCACCGCACGCTTCAGCAGAGCCGCGGCCCTGTGGTTAAACAGCCCCGGGAGGGTTCCATTTGCTACTTCCGAAGCCCCTTGGCATGTGCCTGCCCGAAGCCTGCGGGAGGGCGACGCCAGACCCGCGTTAACTTTTTAAAAAGTGTGAAAGGTCTCGCAAAGGGGTTCCCTGGTCGGTGGGAGGAGACCGACGGGAGGGGACGACGAGCCGCGCTCCCTTCCCTTCTCCCGCAGAGCCCTTGCCTGCTGCCCGGCTGGCTTCGCGTACGTGGAATCGCTGAACGTCCATCGGGAGGGGGAGGAGAGAGAGAGAGAGAGAGAGAGAGAGAGAGAGAGAGAGAGAGAGAGAGGGAGAGAGAGAGAGAGAGAGAGAGAGAGAGAGAGAGAGGAGAGAGAGAGAGAGAGAGAGAGAGAGAGGAGAGAGAGAGAGAGAGAGAGAGAGAGAGAGGAGAGAGAGAGGAGAGAGAGAGAGAGAGAGAGAGAGAGAGAGGAGAGAGAGAGAGAGAGAGAGAGAGAGAGAGAGAGAGAGAGAGAGAGAGAGAGAGGGAGGGAGAGGGAGGGGAGGGAGGGAGGGAGCGGGGAGGGGGAGGGCAAAGGAAAAGCAGCGAGCATCCCCGGGGCAGCCGCGGGAGACCCGGGCTGCACGTAACCTGGGGGCGGGGCTTCGGGGCCTCCAGCCAGTAGCCGCGCTCGGGGGCGGGGCCTATCCTGGGGGCGGGGCCTCTCCGGGGGGCTCCAGCCAGTAGCCGCGGCCGGGGGCGGGGGCGGGGCGGGTCTCTCTTGGGGGCGGGCCTGGGCTCCAGCCAGTGGCCGCGGCCGGGGGCGGGGCAGGGGCGGGGCCTCCGCCGGGGGCGGGCCTGGGCTCCAGCCAGTGGCCGCGGCCGGGGGCGGGCCCGGGGCGTGGCCTCTGCCGGGGGCGGGGCCGGGGGCGGGGCCTGTGCCCGCGCAGCTCGCGCCGCGGTCCCCTGGTCCGGGTCTGCGGGAATGCGGGCTGGAGCGGTCCCGCCGCGGTACCAGCCTCCGGCCTGTCGCCGGGACGGCCCCTGACCCGGGCGCGCCCGCCGCTCGGGGGCAGAAGGGCCGGCGGAGCGCCATGGCCTGCATCCTGAAGGTAACGGCTGGGATGGGTGGCTCGGACGCGTGGTTGGCCAGCCCCTTGCTGCTGGGAGGCGAGGAGTCCGCCGCGGTCCCCCGCATCCTCATCTCCGTCGCCGTTTCCCGGCGCTGGTTTTTCTTTTTTGTTCCTCTGGCACATGCACACGGAGGGAGAGCCCCCACGGTGCCGCGGGCTCGGCTGCCCTGCCCACCATTGCTGCCCACCGCGCCTGCCCTGGAGGAGCTGCAGCCCGCTGGCTCCGGGGGCGAGCAGGGCTGGGCGCCGAGTAATGGGGACGGCGGGGGGTGCTCCCGCGGGCCCCGCTCGGCTGCCTGAGGCCTTTCGGGGGCCACGGAGGATGCACAGGGGCCCGGGCCCGGGCTCCTGCAAGGGGGGCAGCGCTCCGAAGGGGGGGCGACGGGGCACGGGGGCTTCTCGTGAGCATGCGAGCTCCTGAGCACACAAACTTCTGCGTTTACAGGTAGTCCCTTAGGAATGCGTGTTCTTCTTCTTCTTCTTTTTTTTTTTTCTTCTGAGATCTGCTGGCTTTCTGTGCCATTAGCTGCACTTTGGAAAAGTTCACAGAAGGATGTTTTCAGTAGGAGAGACTCTCCCACCCCCCTTCAGCTCACAGATTTGAACAGACCCAGCGATTTCGCTCCATATCAGAGCCCCCCCCCCGCCCCCCAAACCACCTCTCCTTTTGTGGAGCTTCCTCTCTCCAAGGTTGGGTCCCCAGCCTGGACCCCAGCATCGGTCTGGCTTTGCAGCTTCGGGGTGTCAGGTGGGAGGACTTGGTGTCCATGCCTCACTGGAGAACTTTGCAGGCCACAGGGGAGAGGTGTTTTATTTGTTTTTCGTTTTCATGTTTTCTCCCTACTATTTCTCCTCGCGCCTGACCTGGCTCCTGACCCCCCTGAATCATGAACATTGGCGGCGGGAGGTTCCCTGGGCCTTGACTAGAGAGAGAATGCAAAGGCCTATTTGTTCCAAGGTTGGGAGAGCTGTGTGTGACAGGCAGAACACCAGAAAAGGACTTTTTGTTGTTGTTCATTGTGAAATTGCATCTGTTTCTGGGTACGATGGTTCGAAGCCATCTACTGTTAAACTGGTTACCTGAGTCACCTTATAAGGTGCCTTGGTGTTAATGATACACTAACCTAGTAGTGGGTTGTTTTGTTTTGTTTTCTGTCTTTTTTTTCGTAGAATAAAGAGGGTCAGGTATTTCCTGTGACTTTTCTGAACTTCCTCTCTTTGGTTTTGGAACATTTTCTGGGACATAACAAATGGTAGCAAGATCAAGAGGAAGTGCGTAATACATCGGCGTTACAATATGGGATTTTTAACTTGGAGACTCTGAACACAGGAGCTGAAATAAGAGTATGAGTCACTCTTTACTATTATATTATCTGCTGGAAGGGAAATTGAGGAGCATGACATTTATCACTGGCCATCTTCTTCTTTTGGTGCCTTCCTGCCTCATCTTGCACATGTCCCAAACATTTTTAACTCACACCCCAAGCTACGTGGTGAGTCTGAGCCAGACTGTCTTTTCAAGTACCTCCCATTGACCTCAGACCTCTGGGGGCACATCTGAGTCCTCCTTCTCTTCCTCCACTGCAATTCATCTGGGATGCAGACAGGTAGGCTACAGGGAGGTTTGGGCTCAAGAGGGACATTGGTCTGAATGCAGGTTGTGCCTGTTGCCACCTGTGTGGCCTTGGACAAGTTACTTAAATGCCCTTGAGTCACAGCTTCCTCAACGTAGGATCGAAGTAATCAGCTCTGCAGGGGATAAAGTAAGACTGGGTATGAAAACTACCTGTGGCACAGGTACTAATATGTGCCACTTTTTTTTTCTGACACGTAGTGATAACTACATGTTAATGAGTCCTTAACATACCCTCTGCCTGTTTCATATGGTACAACTCTCATCCTTACACCAGACCCTGCAAGGTGAGCGACACTGTTTAAAACCCCATTTTACGGATGTGGAAGCTGAGGCGCCTCAGTTTAAGAGATTTGCCCAAGGCAACAGGGTTATGGGTCTAAACCCAGATCTGCCGGCCTTTCTTATACTTTAATGCTGTTCTCTGTACTTTCCCAGATGACCTTTTCTAAGATGTCCTAATACCATTCAGAATCCCACCACGTTTGAGAAACAAAGTAGCTTTGTGCGGCGATGGTCTCCATGGCCCCTGGTAGGCCTTTTCCAACTTCTTGTCTTTGAAAGACGGTACGTGGTGGAGCGGAGAGTCCGGAGGCCTGGATCCAGTGCAAGCCTGACCTCCTGTGCACGATTTTAGGCGGTCACTGCAACTTGCTCCTTTTAGAATGCAGATGATTATAGTAATTATCTGACGGGGTTTTATGAAGGTAAAATGATGGACTTTTCTCTTCTTCTTCTTCTTTTTTTTTTTTTTTTTTAAACAAAACATTTTCTGCCACAGGCCAGCTCTGGGCTTGGTGTTGGCCTCACAACATGTGTGAACCATTGACCTGGTTCCCAAGTAGCTTGCGGTACAGTAAAGGGGATAGAAAAGTAAATGACTGTGTTTGGTGCCACGTGAGGAGTCCCATAGATCCGTGGAAGGCCTAACACGGTGTGGAGGGACACAGCAACGGAACCGCCTACTGATTAGTCAGGACCCGCTTTCCCCCTACTATATTCCAGCTGGGTTTTGAAGCCTGTGTTGGGTTTACTGTCACGGAGCGTGTGTTCTTGAGGCATGACTTTTGAGGCCGTGTCAACTTTGCTCTGTGGGTGACACTCACTTCACAGGTTTTTGGGGTAGATTTTATTATCCATTTTTACGTGTGAGAAAACTGAGATGGAGGTTGATTGAAATATCCTGATTGCCTACGCAGGAGTGACCCTGAGGGTGGGGGTCCCTGAGTCGCTGAGGGGAGAGGCCCCTGCCGTGGCAGCCGGGGGTGGTCTTGGCAGCACACAGAACTGTCCCCTCGCCGTGCTGGGTATGGGGAGCCCATTCCGCCCGTGCACAGAGCTCGCTCTCCTAACAGAATGATGGTTACTACCTCAATAATTATTTAATTGTGAAGCATACGTTCAGTCCACTTTGCATGGCCTTTGAAGCCAGAAAGATGTGGGGCTTAATTATGGCTGCACCACCTACTGATTGTGTAACCCCAGGCAAGTTTCTGGATTCCACTGCTCCGGTTTCTGAGATGGGGATGATCGTGCATTCCTCAGTGGGCTACTTTGGGGTTCAGGGAGGACATCTGCAGGTTACAAAGGGTAGGCTAGTCATAGTTGAGTGAAAACAAGTCCAAGTCTCCGGTTCCTTTAGGCTGCACTTCCTGGGCCGCCGTGCTCTTGTGGGGTCGTTAACACGACGACTCCGTCTTTCCAAGGAGTGTTTTAAAAGTGTTGGAAAGTTTGATAGACAAGAAGACCTCTCACTTGTATTTATTTGATCACTAGTGAAGCAAAACTTTTAAATCTATATTAGTCATTTGGTTTTCTTCTCCTGTACGTTATAGATACGTGAATTTTTTATGTAATAAGCTTATTTATGTGTTCTTGTATGGTTTCTACCTTTAGTTGCCAAATATGTTCTTGAGCCCGGTATCTGGTACCCTTGGGGTATTTAGCAATAGCTGATGAATTGTATTCAATTTTCTTTGTATCCGGTGGCAAAAGGGGTCCCTGAGTGCAGGTGTAGACACAAGACACTTACGAGTCCTTTCTGCCTTAGCGAAGATCACGGCTTTGCCAGGGTGAGGAGACCTGCGAGCACGAAGCAGACAGTAACACGATGCATTTAGGTGCATGGCTAAAGCCACCGCTTTCTTCACTCCCCACCACCCGTCCTCGTATAATATTTTCTTAGATTGATGGGAAATTGGATGACTGGTAATATCAAGTTATGAACTTGGTGTCTTCCCATTTATTTTCCTTCTGCTCCTGCCCCGGACCTAATTTTTCACCATATTGCATCAGTTATATCTAGAAGAATCTCTCAAATCCACCCATGACTCTCTGTTCTTTGTCTGCCCTGCTCAGAGCCTAGTATTGGCTCCGTCTTCTGGAATAGCCTCCTTTCACTTCAGCCTCCCCCGACGCTTGCCCATCTTCCATATCCTCATGGGATTAGGCTCAAGTGTGGGACTGATCAAGCCCTTGACGGGCTGGGCTGGAATGCTTGCTTTGGGTCCCCAGGCCCTGGGGGAGGAACCCAGCTGTTTAGCTTGGCCTTCGGGTTCCTTCACCCTCTTGCCCCCGCCCACCCGCTGCTCCGTTCCCCACACACTTACCTACACTCATCCCACGGTTGTAGACGTGGCCCTTCCTCACGGCTCCGTGTCTATGCGGTACAGCTAGGGATTACCGGCCTTGGCTCTGACCTCAGACCCCCCTGCTTCTGCAGTGAGGTCCCTCGGCCCCCATTTCCTCCGCTGTGGAACTGGAACAAGACAGTGCCCGCTTCTTGAAGTTAAGAGGAATAAATGAGCTCACCCGTAGAACAGACCCTGAAATACAGCGAGTCCGGGATAATCCGGGGCGATTAGCTGCTGGCGTGCTGTTTCCTCTGCAGGAAGTGCTCTCCCTGTCACTTTCCCTCCACCGACAAGTCCTGCAGCTCGAGGCCCAGCCTGCCGGGCTCCGCGGGCTTCTCCGTGGCCGAGTTCCCCTCTCGGAGCGGCGGGCGGTACCCGGTCCTGCCCAGTCCCGACTCTTCTGCTGGCCTCTGAGCTCGCAGGGGGCAGGGGCAGGGAGCAGGGGGCCTGGGGGCAAGGGGCAGGGAGCAGGGGCAGGGGCAGGGGGTAGGAGGCCTGGGGGCAGAGGGCAGGGGCAGGGCGCAGGGAGCAGGGGGCCTGGGGGCAAGGGGCAGGGGGCAGGGAGCAGGGACAGGGGCAGGGGGTAGGAGGCCTGGGGGCAGAGGGCAGGGAGCCTGGGGCAGGGCAGGAGCAGGGCAGGAGCCTGGGGGCAGGGGCAGGGGCCTGCAGCGAGCGGGGCATCTGCTGCTTGCTGGCGCCGGGCCCACTGCAGC